CAATGTATCTCACATATTTGAAAAATATATTTACTTCTTTTCACTAGTTTTATTGATAATTTAGGGATTAGTATAGAAAAATTACAATAATTTTTTTGCTATTCGATTAAAGTTGCAATTAATTTTAACTCGGTCAAATACATAGTTCTCATGAGTTCAACACTCTATTAACTACTTTATTACTTGTTCATGATCAATCCCGTTCACTTGCGAAAAATAAAAGGGCCAGTTTGTGTAATGAATCTAGCTAGCATAACTAGACATAGAACCATGTCTTACACTCTACAGCAAAATGGAGTTGTTGAAAGGATGAATTATAACTTTCTTGATAAAGTTAGATGTATGATGTGGTTGTGGGATAGAAGTTATAAAGGTATGAAAATAATAAGTCGTGATCTTATTTTTGATGAGTTTGAAATATCATGTATGGAGAGTGAAGAATAACAAAAAACTGTTAGGGAAGAGCACCTAGTTGAGGTGGAGAAGTTAGCGTCCGCATCCTTACTACCTTAAGCGGGGTGGAGAGTGATACACAACAAATTCAACAGAACATAGAACTAGAAGGAGATAACAATATTGTAGAAGACAATCCTATCGACCAAGATCTCTAGTTGATTACCAATTAGCTAGAGATAGAGAGTTGAGACCACGTAGGGAACCCCAAAAGTTTTTTGATAATCTTACAACCTACATTGGTTATCAAGAACTAATTGATAAGGAGCCAAACACTTATGAGGAGGTTATGAGGAGTGAAAAATGTGAGGAATGACAGAGTGTCATAAGAGAAAAAAATGAGTTCTCTCGCTAAGAACAAAACTTGGTATTTAGTTTCCAGACCTAAGGATAAATTCATACAAGGATGCAAATGAGCTTATAAGATAAAAGAGAGAACAAATAAGAGAGAGCCCAAGAGATATAAGGTTAGGTTAGTAGTCAATGAATACACACAAAAAGAAGATGTAGATTATAATGAGATATTTTTATCTTTTGTTAAGTATATTACTATTAAAGTCATGCTTACTTTTGTTGCTATGACTAGAAATTTGAACAATTTGATGTCAAAACTTTTTTTTTTTTTTTTGCATGGTGATATTGATAAAAAGATTTTTATGAATCAGTCTTAAGGCTTTAAAAGTAAAGACAAACCTGTTCATGTGTGTGTTTTTTATAAAATCATTTTATGTGTTAAAGCATTCTTCACGATAGTGGTATAAAAAGTTTGATTATCATGTACTTTCTATTAGCTCAAGAGGAGTGGGTTTGCCTTTATGTGGATGACATATTATTAATTGGACCTAACATGAAAGTGGTAATTAAACAAGATTAAGAAGGAGTTAAGTAAAGAATTTGATATGAAAGACCAAGGACATGATAGGAGAATCCTTGGTATTGAGATTAAAGTGACATGTCTAATTCTTATTTATTTGCGCATCAAACTTTTTATGTAGTTAAAATTTTGAAGAAATTTTATGTGTTAAAATTTTGAAGAATTTTTTTATAAAATCATTTTACATGTTAAAGCATTCTTCACGATAGTGGTATAAAAAGTTTGATTCTCATGCACTTTCTATTAGTTCAAGAGAAGTGGGTTTGCCTTTATGTGGATGACATATTATTAATTGGACCTAACATGAAAGTGGTAATTAAACAAGATTAAGAAGGAGTTAAGTAAAGAATTTGATATGAAAGACCAAGGACATGATAGGAGAATTGTTGGTATTGAGATTAAAGGGACATGTCCAATTCTTATTTATTTGCGCATCAAACTTTTTATGTAGTTAAAATTTTTAAGAAATTTTTTATAAAATCATTTTATGTGTTAAAGCATTCTTCACGGTAGTGGTATAAAAAGTTTGATTCTCATGCACTTTCTATTAGTTCAAGAGGAGTGGGTTTGACTTTATGTGGATGACATATTATTAATTGGACCTAACATGAAAGTGGTAATTAAACAAGATTAAGGAGTTAAGTAAAGAATTTGATATGAAAGACCAAGGACATGATAGGAGAATCCTTGGTATTGAGATTAAAGGGACATGTCCAATTCTTATTTATTTGCGCATCAAACTTTTTATGTAGTTAAAATTTTTAAGAAATTTGGCATGATTAATTGCACAGCTTCCATGCCTCTTGGAAACCATAATTTTTTGTCGAAGAAACAATCACCTAGCAATGATGAGGAAAAAGATTTTACGAGTAAAGTTCCTTACTCAAATGTCAATGGCTTCGTTATGTACCTTATGGTCTGTATTAGACCAGATTTAGCTTTTACTATTAGTGTGTTAATAAGTACAAATTTAATCCTAGTCCCAAACATTTGGAAGCATTAAAGTGGTTTCTTAAGCACTTTAAGGATACTTTTAATTAGGGGTTAGTTTATAAGTTTGTTCCTAAGAGTGAAACTTAGATCTTTTACTGATGCTAATTATAGTAGAGATAGAGATGACAGAGAGTTGACATCCATTTATGTCTTTACTTTGTGTCTCTTGTGTAAGTTGGAAATCACAAATCTAACATATTGTTGCTCTATCCACTACAGAGTCTGAGCATATGGTTGCCACTAAAACTATTAAAGAAGTTCTGTAGTTTAAGAGTTTACTTAATGAAATGGGTGTCTTAAGGGATAATGTGATTGTATATTCTGATAATCAATCTATTATTCATTTGTGTTAAACTCACATGTTTCACGAATGTACTAAACATACAGATGTTATACTGTATTTTATTAGAGATATATTATATTAAGTGGGTGTTTGGTAGATATTTTTATGTAAAAATATATTTTTGAATAGTAAATTGATGGAAAATGTGTGGTTGAAAAATAAGTAACAGTTTTTGATTTACGTGTAATATTATTTTAATAAAGAAAGTGTGATTGAAAAGAAGAGAGAGAAAAATGCATTTTCAAAAAAAATGGGTACCAAACTGGCTCTTGATAAAATTTGAGAAAGTATATTCATATTATAACTATGTGAATATGGGCACTAAAGTGCTCCCCTTGGTAAAATTTAGAAGCTATCTTATACTTCTAAACATCGAAAAAAGAATGTAATGTTTCACATTGTTTTGAAATCATAATGTGCGACTACTAAACTAATTTTTTTTCTATTACGGGTATATTTGGCATCAAGGTGAAGATTTGTCAGGTATATTGATACCAAATACAAACTGTTGGGTTTTTGATACCCAATAAATCCCGGGCTATGATGTTAACGTGGGTTAATATTATTTCATAGGCATAGGCCGATGAATGAAATAAGTCCAACAACCAAGTCCATGAGCTACACCCGGCCCAATTGTATTCCTTATGGATGGCTTGAATCTTGGCCCGTTTACCCCTTTAATGGCCCAACTTAAAGCCTAACCCTAGAGAATATATATGAATATAACCCTAGCCTCTTTGTGATGATGATTGAGTGATTTTGAGAGAAGAAACAAGAGAATCCCGGCTGCCCCCTTTTGTGTGAGAAAAAGGGTGTCCAGAAGTGTCCAGAACGCTGGTATAACGTGTGCAATTGGTGGTTCTTTCATAGTATACCTTTGTGGTGTCTTCTCCTAGCCTTTGTGGCCATAAATCATCATCCCTTCTTGTCCTACGTGGGTAAGATTGTATAGCAACCAAGGTGAATCAATTGGTTGGGGTTTGGAGCCGTTTGGATTGGTTGTTGGTAGAGAAAGGTACGTTGGACTGAGCCTGGAAAACCACCATTTGAAGATCCTTTAGAGAGAGCTTCCGCAACAATTGGTATCAGAGCTTCAAGGTGAAGGTTTTGGCTCGAGAAATCTACCAGAAATCGTCCAAAAAATCGGCAGAAACGAGGCAGAAATCAGATCGAAAAACTGTACAGAAAACTGTTAAAAATCAGTCTCTGTTTTTGGTGTTTTTTGACCAATCCAGAACGAGTTTGGGGAAACGGAGACCACTGGCGTGACGTGCAGGAGGAGGTGAACCCTGCAGGCCGGGCGTGTCCGGAGACGGCGGCGCGTGTGGAGGCGCGTGAAGCCCACGCGTAGAGAAGAGAGGCCGCGCGTGAGGGCGCGTGAGGCTGAATTTGGAGACGGTCTCTTCAGGCAGTTTGTTCCTCATATTATTTCTGACATTTTTCGTGTTGGAAGTTTTCTATTTCAGGGTACGCAGAAGAATCTGGACAGCGTTGTTCTTCGGGCGTTCGGGACTCGATCGTGATTTTTTGGTTGCTACAGTTTCCAGAGACTTTAGGACGAATAGTGGTGGTCCTAAAGTGATGAATTCGCGTCTCTCGATATTTACGGACCTTCAGACGTGGTCCGCTCGGTATCGTGTTCTTTACTTTTTATTATTGCAGTTAAAATTAATGTGTAGGTTAATTATTTATTTTTCACATTAAAAGTCATCGTGTGGGATGACGTTAGGTTTGGGGTAACCATTGCTTGTTGTTAGACCTAGAAATTACATGTTAATTATCTTAAAATTCTATGTGAATTTGTCACCAATTTTTTCTACACCGATAGAATTGCATGTGACCTTAGGAAAATTTACTTGACTGTTCTGTGTGAATTATGTGTCAGTACTTTGCTTGTGGTCATTATTTGGTATTGTTGGCATGTATAGGTTTAAGACAAATGCGAAAAATAATATATATTTTAACTGTGGTGAAAGAATGATAATAAAAGGAAAGATGAGGATAGAGACAAGGCGAATATGATTTTAGGGTCGAGTAGTGATCCTAGTGAGGTTTATTGAGAGAATAAACCTGGTTTTTGCATTGTATCTATGTGTAATCCTTTCTGGATGTATGTGGTCACTTAATTCTATTGCGATGTTGATTTTACACTTTCAATATGTTTGATATGTGTAATTGCATGAATTAGAGTGACTTATTACTTTGTGTAATATGTTTACATGCATAGTGGGTTAAGTTTTGTGGCATACTCTATTTGCTCTGTGAGTGGTGTAAGAGTGTGGTAGTGAGAAGAAAGTTGGGCAGCCGTTTCTCTCCTTTATCTTTGTGAGCCTGTGTGGTTTGTGAGATTATGTGAGGCAGCCATGTTAGGGTTATATTCTTCCTCTTTGTGAGCCTCCTTTGTGAGTGTTGTGAAGTAACCGACTCTTTCTTCGATTCTCTTTGAGAGTGCCACCTTCACTATTTTCTTTGTGAATTTTTTGGGAGCATTGGTGAGTGGATTAACCTTTGTGGTCACCGAAAGGTGTTGTTTTGCCATAGTGAGTTTGAGATACATTAGCAGTGAGTTGGATATCTTTTGGTGAGGTGGAGTATAGATGCCTAAGGGTACATGGTGGTTTGTACTGAGGGATATAGAGTGTGACATTTGGATCACGAGTGGAGATGTGATCAAATGTCTAGGATCCTTTATCTGGAAAGAGACCCTGATCAGGTGGAGTGTAAGAGAGACACTTCTATCACTTCTGTTAGGTGGAGACCCATTATCCACGTAGGTTGGGAGAAGTGATGTGGAAATAGAGGATTATCCCGTGGACTTAGGATCTATTGTGACTTACCAGTTAGACATGAGTTGAGTGATCTGTCTAGTGAGCGTGGTGGGCGATGAGAGGAGATATGTGTTCTCGAGGTGTAAGCAACACGGAATGGGATAGGATAAGTGTGGTGAGATCTTTTCTTAGGGTCATTTATGCATGTGTTGCATATGTGGTTGACCGTGGTTTGATTGACTTGGTGTTAATCTATGGTTCTATGTGAACGTGTTTCTGAAAAGATCTGTGTGTGTTATCCTATAGTATATCGTCATCGCATGTGTATTTGCTCTTGATTGTTTACTGTTAAATATTTGCTTCTACTTGGGTGTTTTTGACCTTAGCCCCAGTGAGTACATGGAGCAGGTATGGTATGTGTTTCAAGTTGGAAACACGAGGTAATTTCTGTGATCCAATTTTATTGGCTACCTTGATTATGCAAGTATTAACTGTGTGTTTTGATTGCTTGCAGATTTATTGGGCATCAAGGTGGAGATTTGTTGGATTTTTGATACCCAATAAATCCCGGGCTATGATGTTAACGTGGGTTAATATTATTTCATAGGCATAGGCCGATGAATGAAATAAGTCCAACAATCAAGTCCATGAGCTACACCCGGCCCAATTGTATTCCTTATGGATGGCTTGAATCTTGGCCCGTTTACCCCTTTAATGGCACAACTTAAAGCCTAACCCTAGAGTATATATATGAATATAACCCTAGCCTCTTTGTGATGATGATTGAGTGATTTTGAGAGAAGAAACAAGAGAATCCCGGCTGCCCCCTTTTGTGTGAGAAAAAGGGTGTCCAGAAGTGTCCAGAACGCTGGTATAACGTGTGCAATTGGTGGTTCTTTCATAGTATACCTTTGTGGTGTCTTCTCCTAGCCTTTGTGGCCATAATCATCATCCCTTCTTGTCCTACGTGGGTAAGATTGTATAGCAACCAAGGTGAATCAATTGGTTGGGGTTTGGAGCCGTTTGGATTGGTTGTTGGTAGAGAAAGGTACGTTGGACTGAGCCTGGAAAACCACCATTTGAAGATCCTTTAGAGAGAGCTTCCGCAACACAATCTCAAGGAATGATGATTAATTGGGTCGAGAAATATTCATATGATTTGTTATAAGCCCAAGATTGAATACATTAATTATCATTGGCCCAAAATCGTAATTGGTAGCACAAGAATCAAAGAAGAGCCAAGAATATGGCTAATGCGCAATTAGATGTGTTAATGGACTCGACCCACTGCTCTTGACCTATACCTATCTTTTGTCCCCGTATATTGTGGCCCCATTCTTAGTACGATACATTACATACCCACGGTTTGTCCTTTTGCCCTTTTTGAGAGAAAACAACAGTCTCCTCTTCGTGCGGCTACTTCTTTATGCTATCGATTTGGGCTATTCCTTTGTGGCTTTTACGTGAGATTCTTGGCTTAATCTAGAGTGATTTTGCGAAGGTAAGTATTGTTCTTGAAGGTTACAGTAGTTTGATCTTTAGCTATTCACTTGATTTTGGCTAACTTGTATTGTTTGTATTAAATTGAAGGTGCTATTATCACTACAATACTATTTAATTGTTGATGGTTAATGTTAAATACTATAAAGAATAAAAGTGAATTTCATTTATCTTTAAATTTTAGGGTAAAGAAATGAATTTTTCCTAATGAAGTTTGCAAATCGGGCAAGCATCAGTGCATCACCTTCACATAACCGTACTAAAATTAAATATAGCATTATTTCTTCACTTAAATAATAAAAACGGTAGCATCATTAACTTTAATCCTTCACTTAATTAATGAAATTGAAAGAAACATCAATTCTACTTACTTGTCGAGGAGTGACATATTTTATTAAATGCACAATGAGACATAGAGTAAAACAGAACTCTCAGAGTGCACAATGCTATCGATTTTACTATAATACATAAAAAGAATTTATGAGATGTGTCGTATAGGTATAATTACTATTCACACGCTATGACTTTAGAAATTACAATTTTCATTCTTGAATAGTTAGCATCTAATATGCGTTATTAAGCTTTTGTCAAAAAGAAAAAAAGTTACAAATAAATCATTTTCCACATATATATTACAATCGAATTTAATTTATCTCTAGCACAAAGGAAAGTGCTTGGAGTAAAAGTACTTACGCTAAACTAAACTAAATATTACCACACATGATTTATTTTCTATCCAATTTGACGTACCACAACATATGAAAATTACTTTTCAAGCGCAACTAGAAAGGTCTTTACACTATATCGGCGCACAACAAAGTGGATCGCAATCCATTTTCTTAGTCTGCAATATTCTTCTATACGTCATCTCATACGAACGACCTACAAATGTGCTAATGAATTTTTTGAATGGTGGTTCTTCACGATTCATAGCCACGGCTGGTGGCTGTTTCTCAAGCTCTGCCCCATGCCACCTACTTCTTGCACCCAAAAGCAAATCATTTGACTCATTATTATTTGAAATAGAGGACACTGGGTGGACAATGTAGCACAAAAGTACAATTGCCATGAAAAGTGTTAGACGTTTTTGCATTGTGATTTTAGCCATTCTCGAGGCAATGCAATTGAGTTGTGTGAAACCTTTTGCTTCTTATAGAGACTTTTAAGAAATAATATTTTATAACTACGTTGCCTCCCAATCTAAAATAATAATCTTTATTAATTAATAAAATATATATGATAGCAAATATATGTCGTACATCTATGTATGAAACCAATGTTGATGAAGAGAACAAAAACCTTGTATGTATTGTGATTTTACTCAGGAATTTTTATATAGAGATGAAAATGTTGATGAAAAAAACAAAGACCTTGTGTGAAACTGACCAAAAATCAGAAAGGCGACAGAAACGAAGAAGAAAGACAGATTGAAAAACTGTCTGATAACTGTGAAAAAATCGAGGTCGTTTTCTCAATTTTCAGCCAATCCAATGACCTGGTGGTAAAACGAAGACAACCGGCGTGACGTGCAAGTAAGGTGATCCCAAAGGTCAGGCATGTGATTGATGACAACAGCGCTTGAAGCCCACACGCAAAAGGTCCAAGCGAAGTATGAGGGTGCATCGACGAGAATTTCGAGGAGGTTTCTTCAAGCAGTTTGTTGTTGACATTTTGCTGACAATGTGATCTTGCTAGTTTTCTTTTTCAAGTTATACAGCGAAGTCTGGATGATTTTGTTCTTTACGCGTTTGAGATTCAATCGTAATTGATTTAATTCCTGCGATTGCTACAGATTTTAGGACGAATAGTAGCGATCCTAAAGTCATAGATTCGCATCTCTTGATATTTACAAATTCAGATTGGTCCGATCTGACAATTGATTTATTCGCGTGTAATCGTATGGGGTGACATTAGGATTGAGATTACCGTGTGTGATAACATCGATTGTGCTAGAAATTTAGGAATTGATTGCTTTGTTCGAAGTGTTGAATTTGATTGCAAGTTGGTAACTAATTTTGTGCTATAATTGTCGTCTAGTCATCGTGTGAGATTGAATTACGTAAGAATTTGAATCTTTGTTTACATACCTTCGTGTCCCATTGATTATTTTGTTATAACACCTGGATTTGGCTCGTTTGAATATTCTCTTGATCTAAAATCAAGAATCTTACGAAACCATGATAATTTAGAATAGTGTATATTGCGGCCTTGTGATTGCTTCGTGTGATCTATTTTGTACACTTTGGTTGTTCTTTTTTCTCAAAATATTTTCACATTTCGAAGTTGAGATTTTCAATGGAGAAGGAAATTTTTCAATTTGACAAAAAAGATGAAGGAGATTTTGGTTCAACAAAAAATTTCAAAAGCTTTGTAGATGACAAATTTCCTGCAAATTTGACAAAAGCATAAAAAGAAGAATATAATGAACTTGCTTATACTTCAATATTTTACACTTATTTGACACTATTTTAAGAAAAGTTGGAAAACTTAATTCTAGAAAAGAACTTTAGTAGAAGTTGGAGGATTTATATTTGTTTAAGTTTACTCCTAATAAGTTATACTTACTTGACTTACTTGAACGATTTTTTAATATTAAAATGGATCATTCAAAGGATCTTGATGACAATCTGAATATTTTCAACAAATTTGTTCAGAATATTGTTAATTGTGATGAAAATGTCTCTAAAATGTAGCCATTATTTTACTTAATTCTATGCTTGATCATATAGAGGTGTTAAAAATGTAATTAAGTATGGTAGGGACACCTTAACTCCTCGAGATTGCCACAGATTCTTTGAAGAGTAAGGAAATTGAGATTAAGGTTAAAAAAGAAGATAAGGGGAGTGGTGAGCTACATATGATAAGGAGTAATGATAAGTGTGTGTTTACACACTTATTATGTACTTTAACGGACTAATTATTGATGAAATTGAGCGAATTTCTATTTACAATTTTCCAATTGTGGCTTTTGTAGACTAAAATTCCAAATGGAAAGAGAAGAAGGCTAAAGGAAAAAGGACAAAAATATGATTTGGGGAACTAAAATGTACAAGGCAGAAAGTTCAAGGACTCAAGTTGCATTGACTTGATTGAAAAGACCCAATTTTAGGCGACTAGGAGGAACCAATGGCTAAGGGAGTGTGCACGCCTCAAGTTGAAAATCAGGACCCGTGCACACATTTTAATTTTTTCAGGGACTCTTCTTGTAATTCGGTTGGGACGGTTTTTATTCCTTTTAAACACCCTTTTCACCCCTTTTTACCATTCATTCTTCCATATTTTAAAAACTTAGCATTGAGAGAAAATGGGCCAAGCAAAAGGAGACGAAATATTACACAAAAAGGAGGGAAATTTTAGAGAAATCAAGACCAAAACTAAGCAAACTTCAAGAATCTGACCAAGGAACATATTTATTTCTTTGTCTTGTATTTCACAATATATTTTCTCAACTTTTTTGATGTATTTCTTTAATCTTTTCACTTTGTGCCTTTTAAATACAATGAGCTAAATATTTTGGTGTTGGGATTACCGAGGAAGTTTGGCCAAACTATATTAATTTCTATATTTACTTGTTAATGAGTTAATGCTTATGTTTTTGTATTTTTACCATTGTTTTGAGTGCATTATCATTATTGTGGCCACTATATGATTATGTCAAGTAATTTGTGTGATTATTGATAAATTCTTGCACATTTTAGACCAA